GGTCTGTTTCCTCATAGAAAACACAACAGCAGCGCTCCACAATCATGAAGCGTCAGCTTCCTGTTCACACCATGTGCCCATTCTCTTTCAGAGTGTCCTGACCAGGCCGCCAGACCCTGCAGCGGCAGAGGCATCTGCTCCGCTGGACTGGGAGGGAATGGGACCTGCAGCTGCCAGGTGACCTCACACACCTGTTCTCACCTTACACACCTGCTCTAACTGTACATCACACTCCTGCTCTCACACACCTGCTCTCATAGAATATATGTTTATTTTCGCTGTTACAAGAACAATGAAAGACAGTGTCACCTCACACACCTGCTCACACATCACGTCACACACCTGGTGACAAAAATCAGCTGATTTGCAGGTAAATTGGAGTGAGAAAGCAAAGCTGATTGGAACACAGACAAACCAAAAAATAAAACAAACTACAATAACGTGAAAGCAGACTGACACAATCACTGTGAGCTTGTGTCCATATAAATGTATATTTAGGACGTAATCATATATCTGGGTTTATTGTCATAAAGAAGGCATAATATTAGAACCTTGAACAACACTCACTGTCCACAGAACCAACAGTAAATGACCTCAGAGTTTCTAGATTCTAGAGCCCTTTAGAACCTTAGATCTCAGACTGTTACAGGAACCCAAGAACCCTGTGAATAATCAAACCCCATAAATGTGTGTGTGTTGCATCGGTGGTTGGCTGAAAGGTTTAAATAATTAATGACCGTAAAAGCAGAACCCCTCCACCTTTGAAAAATACATCGGTATACAGGTTCCTGTAACAGGACCCAGCAGCAAACTGTTTGCATTACAAATCTGTCTCTCTACAGGCCAGAACCACGGCTCTCTTAAAGTTTACCCATGATGTCATATCCTGTTTATCATTGTTTTTAATTGTGTGTGTGTGTGTGTGTGTGTGTGTGTGTGTGTGTGTGTGTGTGTGTGTGTGTGTGTCCAGGAGGGCTTTGCAGGAACTGCCTGTGAGGACTGTGCACCTGGACGGTACAGCCCCACCTGTAGCTCAGGTAACGTCATCTCCAGCTGTGACAGATGCACTGAGTTCTCAGGAACCTCTGACCCACCGTAATTCTGTTTACACTGTTTGCAGTCTGCTCCTGTGTCCACGGCCTCTGTGCTTCTGGAATAGTGGGCGACGGCCGATGCACCTGTTTCTCTGGATACACGGGTCCCAACTGTGACCAAGGTCAGTCCTCCTGCTGGTACCTTTACAGTCACAGGTAACTCCACCTGCAGCAGGTGTCCCGCTGTGTTGTCTGGTCCTTCTCCTGATTTGGTAACATGTCAGCTTATCTTTTCCTGTTTCCTGTTACCTATACAGTTTCTGCATTTGCCTGCACCCTGTCACCTGTGCTAACACCTGTATTGTGTTTCAGAGTTACCAGAGTGTGCAGCTCTCAGCTGTCAGCAGAACTCTCGCTGTATTGAAGAAGCTCTGACGGGGCAGTTAGTGTGCCAGTGTCTACCCGGCTACCAGAGAGCAGGAGCCAAGTGTTTATGTGAGCTTATATGTACCTCCTTGGTGCTCTCTCTCTCTCTCTCACCCCAAGTTCTCGCTTTCTCTCTCTCTCTCTCTCTCTCTCTCTCTCTCTCTCTCTCTCTCTCTCTCACACCTCTAGTTCTCTCTCCCGTCTGTGGTCAGTGTAAATGTCACAGTCTTTGAGTCTCTGTGTGCTCCAGCTTTGTCTTTCTCACTTTGTCACTTTGTCTTTCTCAGCCATAAATCCATGTCTGCAGCGGGTGTGTCACGCTCAGGCCTCCTGTGTCCACACTGGACCAAACCAGCACCTGTGTACCTGCAATGAGGGCTACAGCGGGGACGGGCGGGTCTGCATGGCTATTGACCCATGTCAGACCGATCGTGGCGGCTGCGCCGCTGAGTCTGCCCGCTGTGTGTACGATGGACCGGGCAGGGTAAAACATTTTGGCTGACCTTTCACATCATGTGTGTAACGAGCTGTGGCCCACAGGGGGCAGCGGCTTGCTGTCAGATGACCTTGTCAGTGACCTCTGAATCTGCTGTGCTGTGCTCTGTGCTCTGTTCAGTCCCACTGTGAGTGCCTCTCTGGGTTTGACACTTTGTCGGGCGGTGGCTGCAGCCTAAAGAACTCCTGCACACCTGATTCCTGCCACCGGAACGCCAACTGCAGCACCGTGGGACCTGGACAAGTTGAGTCAGTCACTTTACTTTTACTGAATGTCTGCATAGACCAATACCTGAATCTGCAGGCAGCAAGTAGCAGAGCTGCAGAACTGAGCCGTCACTTGCTGCTCTGTCCCTCAGGTGCGCCTGTCTCCAGGGCTACATTGGTAATGGTAAAGTCTGCATTGGGAACATCATGGAGCGTCTGAATGACCTGAACACAGAACCAGGAGGCCAGTGGACGGGTCAGCTGAGCAATGCCATCACTCTGTTTGGTATGTGGATTCAGTTTGAGGTGATTTGGTCCATAAAAAGCAGAAAACTTTCACTTCCTCAGCTTTAGCTCTCTGTGCAGGGACACATGTAAGCTTTTCCCTCTGGCCTACGGTGTTCTGGTGTGACCTGCCCAGTGACAGATATATTAAATAAAACTCAGTAAATAAACTAGCATTCATAAAAATTAAACTGATACAGAAAAATTATTTCAAGTTTCTCCTTTAAGCACTTTTATTTACCACATCCAGGACTTTTTTTTATAAGTGAGTTTTAAAATGTTTAATCTGGGTTCTGCACGGTCGCCCCTAAAGTAGCCTTCCTGTTCGATCCTGCTCTGTTTATTCTCCAGAACACATGACATAACCAACGTATCCCATGGTAAAACATAGGAGCGATGCTCAATTACTGCTCCGCTTTATTGGCAATGACAAGTCGTCAGCTGATGCACAACTTGTTTTTTGGAGGTATTCAGATGCGATCTGTGTAGTGAGACATTTTACAGATGGTCAATGAAGTCGTCTCACATGAAAAGAACTAATGTTGATGATTGTGTTTGTGTGTGTTTTGCAGGATCTTTGTCGTGGCCGCTGCAGAATTTGGGTCCGTTCACCGTTTTCATCCCGATAAATAAAGGCTTCAAGGGAACGCCGGTACGAATCCCTTCAAATAAACTGATCCACTTTTATCAGCAGCTAGTTTTAGCTTCCTTTTAACTTTAGAGCCACTTTTATGTTTCTTTCACACCCTGGCTTTGTTTTGGGAGCTCATCGTTCTTTGAGCTCCAGAGGAAAAAACACAATTCAATCAAAACGGGTTCAGTCAGGATTCAAACATCTGCCTTTACTCCTCTTACTAGGTGAGGACTCTGATAGCGGACAGGTCCAAAGCTACATACCTGTGTAAGATGCATCTGGTCGCTGGGATGATGCAGTTTGACACACTGAAGAAAACTGATGTCTTCTACACACTGACGGGAAAATCAGCAGAGACGGACACATCAGAGGGGGTGAGAGGCTTTATTACCAGCAGATTGATACAACATGAAGTGTAAACATGTCAGGGCACGAAGCAAAAAAATTAGGAAATATAAAAAAGATTTGAAACAATTTGAGGAAAGTGAGTGATGACTTGTTTTTTCACATAAGAAACAAACCAACCCAAAGCGAAAATGCTAACCCAGGACCCGAACTAGAACCTGACCGAGACCCAAACTCAGACCCTTTCCCTAAGCAATTAAACAAATAACTTGACTGAATCCTGTTTTTAAATCCTTGGAAACACAATAAAGATGACAATAAATAGAGCATTCACAGACTTGGCTTGCATCTGTTTATTGTAAGAATGAATTAAGATTTATAATCAAATAAGTGATGCACACAGTGGACACCAAGTCCAGTCTTAAGTACTTCAGAGACTTTTGATGCTCACCTGCAACATGTGAAACTGTTACGGTCTTCACACTTCCACATGTTAAAGTGGTAAGCCTCCCATGGCTTTGATAGAATTGTGTATTGTCAGATCTTCCTCTGGTTTCATTCCAGGACGCTCAAACCAAAATCCGTATCCATGGCGGCAGGAAGAAAGGTGTAATCATCCAGTCTAATGTTGTTGCATCTAATGGGATCATCCATATCATCAATAGGCTGATGGAAAGCGTGCCTCCCATCGTAGAAAGCAACACTGAGGTGGCAAGACTGAAAGATTTTAGTTTGGGTGTAAATGTGCTCAGCAAAGATAAACCTGTTCATTATGTCTCCATTCATCTCATTACATGAACACTTTGTTGTTCCACAGGAGAACCTGATGAAGATCGTTTCTGACTACGGCAAGTTTCAGACTTTCACCAGTTTATTACAGGTATAGACTTCTTTTCTTCAATACCAGGAACATCAGGCCATGAATACATGCAGACGCCAACTTTTTTATTCTCAGTTTAGAAGTTAATCACATCCTGTAACTTCCTGTATTGAGTCGATAACAAGTTGAACACTGGAAGACATTTTATTGCATGTCCCAATGTCCCAGTCACATTCCTGCCCACCAGAGGATGGGATCATTACATTATTACACTGGATCAGGGCTTTGTGTCAACACTGACACAGAAGATGTTTGGAGTGTGATATTTCTATGATCAGTTTTAGGTTCTGAACACAGATTAAATAGGAAATATTGCACTGAGTTGTGGTCCTGCAGGATTAGACGTCTCTGATGTTCATGCTGCAGGAAGAAATGTGTAAATATTAGCAGAGTCAGGACCGAGAGTCGCCTGAATCCCACCTCAAACACGGTGCATGAGCATTTATCTTAGTAACACATTCGGGTGCATGAGGACCTGGTTCTTAAGTTTCTAAATTGATCAAACTGGACAATTTGTGCTCACTGCAGAAAACTCCTCTGGCATCTTTGCTGGACCAGCCGGGACCAATCACTGTGCTTGCACCCACCACTGCAGCATTTGATGCAATGATAGAAGAACACCTGAAGTATCTCATGAGCCCTGACGTAAGGATGGACACAAAAACTGACAAATTTGTAGTCTGTCATGAATAATTCACCAGACGATTGGTTCTGAATCCTCAGGGTCACAGCAAACTGCTGGAGTTTCTCAGGAACCACATTATTCCGGCCACTGCGGTGAGAGCGACAGTCCGCTGACTCGTTAATAATTCACGTTTGTTCCCTCTGACAGTTTTTTTTATCTCCCTGTTATGCAGCTGGAGATCTACAATGCTGTGTCAACCCCAAGATACGTGACAATGGCCAATCAGGTTCTGACAATCACCGTGATGGAAAATGTAAGTGTGGATTTCCACCATCTGTAACCCCCAACATCACCCCAAATCTCTGTCACAGTCACTGTTGAATACTTAAATAATATCATGAATCTTATAAAATAACAAAGGAGGGTGGAAAGTGTTTGGTTCTAAGTATGCTATAATACTGACATTATTGTTCCAATATCCTTTCTGTGTGTGTGTGTTAGTGCTGTTCATGCAGATTTAGTCTCTTTAATAAGCTTGCAGATCTTTTTAAATATTGCTGAAATTTATTTCACTTTCAACTTGAACATTTGAAATCTTGACATTAATAGAGTTTATTAATATTATTAATAGAGTTTAAAATACAATCCAGATAACAAAAATCCCTAAAAGTGCAGCGTTTTTATTTCTGTAATCATTTTCTGGAGAAATGAGTGTAATCAGTAAATATTCACCATGGATCCTGTAAGGAATACAGCCGTGTGACTTAAAGCTGACTGAACATCAGCTCCTGGTTTCTGTGTCAAACCTTCATCACCTAAAGAAAAGTTGAATTCACTCCTATTATCCGCATTTTAGTAAGACTGTTTTCCACACTTTCAACATGAGCTCAGGATTTCTGTCCGGTCGTCGTTTCACTGTTTCAGGGCCAGATCTTGGTTAATGGTGCAGCCGTGTTGGAGGCAGCTGTGGAGGCAAAAAATGGACGTCTTTATGTGATGGATGGAGTTTTGACTCCGCCCTCCATCGAACCTGTGTTGCCCAGTAGATGTGACGTCACAGAGACTAAAATCATCATGGTGAGTTTAACATCTAATGACATGATCGATTGACCCTAAATGTATATGTGCAGCGTATGAGGCTCAGTGTGAGAACAAAAGGCACTGAGCTCATGGAGCTCACATAGTTGGATCATCACACCATGCTACACTGTTGGACTCTGCCTCCATTGGATGAGTAAATGTATTTGATCAGTGAGGTGACTTTATCCCAGGAACAGAAACACGAGGACACTGTGAGATTTCTGCCCCTTCACCTTTGAGCCCGCCCTAAAACACTGAAGCCCTTTGAGTGTGTTTGAGATATTTGATCAACTCATGTGTTTTTCAGGGTGAATGTGTCGCGTGTTCAAAGCTAATAATGACCCAATGCTCTTCTGGAGTTTTTACAGTAAGACTGAACTCACTGTGAAGCATCTGGATATTTATTCACTTCCCTTTCTTACTTTGAGCTGCTTTAAAATATGATTATGCTGTCTTTATCCAGGGCTCTTCCACATTTGGATGTTCTTATATTTTCACCAAGGGCAACCCATCTGTTAAAGTCCCAGTGAAAGGCTGCTCTGCACACTGCAACTCAACAGTCACGGTACACACTTTAGTAAAACCGGGCAGTTTACTTCATGTTGGAACAGAAAGACACTGAAGCCTAGAAGATGTAACTTTGTAGAGGCCGTCAGAATAACCTCGTGTATATCCGTTCAGATTCCAGCGTGCTGTAAAGGTTTCTACGGTCCAGACTGCAGACCATGTCCAGGTGGATACCAGACGCCCTGCTCCGGACACGGGCAGGTCAGACATTCCCATAATTCCTTAATTACTTTATTTGGAAGAAGCTTTAGTGCTTTCTGTTCTTTGAACAGACTTTTTCCTGTTTGCAGTCCAGCGGTGACGGAAGGAAACTGAAATGTTTCAGTGTTTGCAGGGAAAGTGAGGTGTTTGGTTTATGGAGGAGGAACCTAAAGTGTGTTTTGTGCTTTTCAGTGTTCGGAGGGGGTTTCAAGAAATGGAACATGCAGCTGTGAACCGAACTTCAGCGGCTCACGCTGTCAGTACTGCTCCTCCTCCAACAAATATGGACCAAACTGTGACAGAAGTAAGTCTGACTCATACTTTGTGACGTCACACAGGCAGACATGATGTAAAGATGATGTACTTGTCTATCCTCAGCCTGCCCCTGTATCCACGGGCAGTGTGATAACCGTCCGGATTCAGAAGGTCGGTGTAAAGTGGACTCGTGTCAGCAGGGTTACACCGGTCCTTTGTGTAATCGACAGACGGCCGCCTGCGGCGCTCAGGCTCAGTTTTGCCACGCACATGCTGACTGTGACTTCAGCCAGGGAACAGTCAAGTGAGTTTACCTGGATGGAGTCTGAACTTTAACCCTGAGTCAGACGTCTGTAGTGAACAGTTATCTCGTACCACACATTATTCTGTACTGTGTCTTATTTTAGGTGTATTTGTAAAACTGGTTTCCAAGGTGATGGGATCACCTGTGTGGCGTCTGACCCGTGTGCTCCACCCCACCGAGGTGGCTGCAGCCTGAACGTAAGTCTCCAGTTTTTATAGTGTAACTGTAAAAAACGCAGTCTGTTTCCTCACTGCTGCCCGTGCTGCATTCTGCCCCTTGCAGGCTAAATGTATAAAGACAGGCCCTGGGACTCACGTCTGTCAGTGTCTGACTGGATGGAGGGAGGATGGGGATGAGTGTCAACCAATCAACAACTGCAACAGTCCTGACAGAGGCGGCTGCCACCCCAACGCCACCTGTGTTTATGTGGGACCCGGACAGGTAAGGACACTGATATCAGCTGAGACGTGAATGGTGGAGATGTCACTGACGGATGGTTTATCTCATTAATGTGCTCTTACCCTGGGAATGCACCACTTCAGTCCGTCCTTAGGGTGGCAGTAAGGAGTGCAGTATTATTAAAACATGAGAGGGCCAGAAAATGTGAATCCTGAAATGTGGTTGATTATTCAAACTTACACTGGCCTATTTAAACTGGGGCCGTGCGGACCTCGGGGAGAATATTTCTTTTATCTCAGTTTTTTAACACGTTGTCGGTTAGTTTGTTCTTAATGATGTCACATCATTGTTTTTGGGAACCCCCCAGTCAAAAGCACCCAATTTTGCAGTTTCAATAAATGGAACTATTTATTCAGTTAATGTTTGCCACGTGGCAGTTTGTTAGTCTCAGGATCTTGCTGCTTCCTTTTGTAGATGATGTGGTTCTGTCAGCTTCATTGGCCTTCTGTAAAGATCTGGCACCTCTAATTCTGAGCCCATGGTTCATGGTTCCTCAGAAAAAAGTGGGGTGCCCACTTCAGACTGGAATTTTGTCCTGCTAGACCTCAGTGGAGTGTTCAATACTGTTGATCATAATATTCTATTAGAGCGACTAGAGCATGCTGTAGGTGTTACAGGTACGGTGCTGCAGTGGTTCGTATCATATCTCTGATAGACTCCAGTTTGTTCATGTAAATGGAGAGTCCTCTTCACACACTAAGATTAATTATGAAGTTCCACAGGGCTCTGTGCTAAGATCAATTCTGTTTACATTATACATGCCGCCTTTAGGCAGTATCATCAGAAGTGATTTGTGATCTGGTCCACCAGCACCAAAGAGTGAAGCTGTCTCCGCAGCAGTAATGTCCTGTTGTTATCTGCTCCTGTTCAGAGTGACTGCACCTGTAAGGCCGGTTACCAGGGCAGCGGGCAGGACTGTGAACCTGTGAACCAGTGTGTGACTGCAGACGGAGGCTGTCACTACTTTGTGAGTAGCAAAAACCAAGCAAATCCACTGAAAGCATCTTTTCTGCTAAAATCATTATGGGTCACACCAACAGCAACATAAAACAGAAGGTCTTTTGCTTTGATGTCATTTGCCTGCAGCGCTGTGATCAGGGTGTCAAAGCCAGATTTTACTCCTCTATATCTTCAATTTGACCCTACCTGGTCAAACTGGTCTGTAGATTCACTCCTAGTAACTAAACCAGCCAATCATCGTTCCTCAGAGCCAATCAGAGGCTCTGCAGAGCTTCACTGACGTCTTTTACTTTCAAAGTAAAAGACGTCTTGTGCATGATGTCTGTCTTGTACTGATAAAAATGACCGAAGCTAGGCCCTCGGTGATCGTGTCCCTGTTTAACTGTTTGTGTGTGCAGGCCAGCTGTCTCCTGCTGTCCTCTCAGTGGACGTGTGTCTGCGATGAAGGATATGTTGGAAATGGACACGTGTGTTACGGTACAGTTGAACAGGTGAGTGAGGGCCAGGTTCAGTCGGCAGGATCGTGTCTTTGCTTCCAGCTGACTTTGTTTCCTGGTGATTTCAGGAGCTCAGCATCCTGCCTGAGGCCTCAGACTTCTTCACATGGATGACTGTGAGTATGTCACGTTTTACAGATGCATTATGTGCAGATTGTCATCACTTTGATTATTATACAATAAATGAAACATGCAGTATATCACAAACTAACTCACACGTTTAGCACATGCTTCACATGCAGACTAGGCACCGTAATTATGCCACTGTAAACACAGTGTATCATATTCACTGATATTCATTCATACCACATGAAAACCCAATTAGAGCACATAAATATGGGTACAGAAAAATTATACATTTATGAATACTCTTAGCAATGTTAGGCTCACACTGTGGGGGTTATCGGTTCGTGCCACCATGCTTCATTTTTTAATAACCATGCAGTTTACAAGACTGACTTCCCCTGTGGTCTTTCATGTACCAGCAGCTATTTTTAATACCAGCCTGAGCAAAGATTGTGTTTGTGTTCATACGCTCTGTTAGGATTCGGATCTGTCTCCGTCTCTGTTGGATCAGAACCTCACCCTCCTGGTTCCATCCTCAGCAGCCATCAGCAAAATGTCCTCAGAAGACAAAAACTTCTGGACGTTGAGGGGAAACCTGCCGAGTCTCATCAGGTTACAGCTCCGCTGGATTTAAAGTGACATCATTTTATTTTGGGGCTTTTATATGAATATATGTAACAGCTGTGCTGCGATCTGTCCCCTTCTGACAGAAATCACATGATCGCTGGTGACTACCCCTTATCTAGCCTCTGGAACATGTCGTCTGTGACATCCCTTCTGGGAACAACACTTCGTGTTTCTACAAACGACGAGGTAACGCTTTCTGTGTCAGGATTTCTGCACACAGAGAATTTTGATCTTTCATTGAGCCCGTGCAGCTCAGGTGTTTCACATAAACTCCACACGGCCATCGCTGCTCGTCCTCGGGCTGATCTAACTACCTTTTGGCTGGCTCTCATCTTTCTGATGTTCTGTCAAATGCTTATAAAGTTACAGGTTGTTAAAATAACCTTATCTGGTATCAGGCACATAAATGTATAATCTCTGTGAGCCAAAATATTGCTCTTTAAAAAAAAAAAAAAAAAAAGTTTGCTTAATCATGTGGGCATACTTGAGTGGAGTCCCAGAATAAAAATGTGGACTTTCGTCCACTTTCAGTATATGGCTGTGAACTTGGTGCTTTTCTCTAATTTTACTTAAAAAATAAAATGGTTGTGTTTGTGCAGATCACTTCTGTTGGTGGAGCTCTCATCGGCACGTCAAACGTTGCTGCTACAAACGGACTGATCCATTTCATCGATAAGGTAAAAAGAAATACTACAAAAACAACACCCAGCAAGTTTTTGTACCCATTACCGATTTCAGCCTTTTTTTTTTTTTTTTTAAAAGGTTTTGGTTCCCGACAGAACACTGAGTGAAGGTGTGCTGGCCACGCTCGCTCTCAGGCCGGAGTTCTCACTCTTCAGATCGTATCTCATCGTACGACCTCTCAAACACGCTCACACCATGCTTAAATGTTCAATGTTTCCTTACATGTGCTTTCTCTGGCTTTTTGTTTAGGATTATAACCTGACCAATGATATCGAACAGGCTGACGAATTCACCATCTTTGCTCCGACAGACGCCGCCGTCACTGAGTACCTGAAGAAAATGGCAGCCACTGCCCTGGTATACAATTTAGGCTTCAGTTTGTCTGCGTTTTCATTTGAAGCTGAATCAAAAAGTTTGTATTTGACCTGATTAGTCTTTTTACTCACTGCTGACATTGTTGAAATTTTTACATATTTTAAAATGGATTAAGTGAGCAACACTCAGTTCTGTTATTTCATTCGACATTTAAAGCAGATGGTAAATATAGAACTGAACTCTGTAATTAAAGACTTTGACCCTGTCCTCGGGTTTATTTATTTACTTCCTTCAAATTAGTTGTGCTTTTATTTTGTCACTGAACAGGATGTGAAGACCACTCGTTACCACGTGGTGGCATCGCAGCGTCTGTTAAAAACAGACCTTCAGCTTGGAGGTTACAAAGAGACTATGCTTGGGTTTTCCTTCCAGCTCGGCATTTTCCCACGAGACGGAAAGGTCTCATCATGAAATATTGATTCTGTCGCATCTGATCGCATGAGAGTCTAAACAACACAATACAAACCACCTGACCTGTGTTTTCCTCATGCAGCTGTTTGTGAATGATGCTCAGATGAACTCCTCTGACATCCTGAGCGGTAAAGGAGTGATCCACGGTCTGTCAGCTGTTCTTCAGATCAACAGAAATCGCTGCGATGATCTCACGTACACAAAAGTCATGGTAAGGTCCTCAGCCACCAGTTAAGTCCTGCAGATACTTCAGCGCCTCCAATCCAGTTCAACGAATGGAGAAACAATCGCATGATAAATATCAACGTTTTCTTTCTGCTCCAAAGGGGAACTGTGTCGACTGCTTATTCCACCAAAACAAGATCTGCCCCAATGACACCATCCCAGATGTAAGTTTTCTGACTTTTTCTGATCGTTAATCTTTCAAAGCTTAGACGTGAACACTTTAACCACCAGGCTCTCTAAACAAACTTTTATACCAAACTAGAATCGGATAAATGCAGCTACTACAGAAAATCTGTTTGCAGATGATTCGATTTTAAGTTATGAAAGATGGAAAATTCTCCCCAAAGTCAAAAGAATTACGTTCAGTTTGTCCGACTTTACAAGACTAACAAGAAGTAGGAGAAGATCTAGAGAGGACTTCATGGTATTCCACTAAAGTAATTTCATGACCTCCCATCACTGACCACTTTACTGTATGTGCTCTTGTGCCAGTTACAGATTGAATTTCTTTCAGTTTACTGTGACAGTACTAAAGTAACATAACAAAAAAAACATATTTTAAGTATAATTGTGCTGAAAAGTAAATTGCTCTTTAACAGCTGTGGGAAAACTGGTATCATTTAGTTGTATTTGATATCGAATTTGACATCTTCAAAAATAAACCAGCGTTTATTCAATGGAGCGTAAAAATGTTTTTCTTTTTGTGGTGTCGCGATAGAGGAATAACCGGGGACGGTAACTAAGATATTGACAACGCCACCTGGGGGAGGGCGTTACACCCCAGGAAAGATTTCTCTAGCCAATGTACGTGTTGCACTGCCTACCAAAGCCCACAGACTCGTTATTAACGGCAGAGGTGAGACAAAGGAAGTTTACAAATCAAAATTTATTAAGAGGAACTACTAAAAACATAACTATAAAATCAGGAAGGCACCTAGGGTAGCAGGGTTGAGACGGCAAAATGGTTCATTAAAACACTTTAACAAACGATGATTAAAATGACCAGACTCCCTACCACGATGCTACCCTAAAACAATCACAGCATGATAAAAGAATAACTAAACAAAATAGTGGCGACCGGCCACTTGAGGCAACCTACAGGGAGGAGTGCCCAAGGGTGCCACCAATTACTCACCCGTGTAACTTCACTCCAGACCTCACTGTCACTCACACTAAACGGTGCAATCTACCTATGCCCGGTGTGTACACTCGCATGCGTCGGGAAGGGGATTCCACCTCACGTGCCTAGCCCCTCAGCAAGCGGCCGCACCTCCACTAAAGCAATAAAACAAAGCATAAAACGTTACACACATTAATAAAAGATCTACATAAAACAAATACACCCCAAAGTACTGTTCGTTATAAAAGCATCACATAACAAACAAGACAGCAGCAGTATAGTGCAAACCTGCAACAAAAGAGGGAAACAGTTGTCAGAGTCCACCCTACTATATACCACATTATGATGAACACAAGAGTCCCACTTACCACAGGGCAATACTAAACTGAGTGGCTTTCCTTGAGAGATCTGCAGTGCTCAACTGCCTAATGCGCTCAGCCACCTTGGATGGACAAGACTGCCAAATGCCTCCTTCTGGTAGTGAAGCTGTTTCTTATAAGCCTGCTAATTGTCAACTGGGAAGGTGTGGATGTTAGTGGTGCGTTTGTGGACATCGTGTAAAATCCTACCCCAGAATCTACTTCACTACATTTTGTAAGTTAGGTGAACTGAAATGAAGAGTTTTATTTTCACTGCTCTATCGCTTCACGCGGATAACTGCTTATACTGTGTAAATATTTTCTTGAAACATGCGTTGTAGAAAATGCTGAAATTAATACTCAGCTCAGATGCACAGCCTGGTCCATGAGAAGCTAAAGTCAAAGTAAGAAGTTGGTGTTTTGCTCTGTGCAGAAATCGGTGAGGAGGACGAGAAAGTGCATGTTCACCCGCACGTTTGAGGGCGAGTGGCTCCCGAGAGTCGGCTGCAGAGCCACCTGCCTCCAGAAGAAGATCGTACGTTTCCTGCTCATTTCAGGGTAAGCATCCTCGGCAGTGTGGCACACTAGAACTCTTCTGTGCTTTCAGGAGCGGAGGTGCTGTGCAGGGTTTTTCGGGGAGCACTGCGAGGCATGCCCCGGTCCAAAGGGTCGGCCCTGCTTCGATAATGGAGTGTGTGTGGACGGAACAAACGGGACCGGAGTGTGTCGGTGTAACGAAGGCTTCAACGGGACCGCCTGTGAAACCTGCCAGAGCGGCAAATACGGAGTCCACTGTGACCAAGGTTCAGTACGTTTCATTAGTCAGCACATGATCTGTCATCTTCATCCTCACCTTCATCGTCACGTGTTGTCTGCTCAGAGTGCGAATGCAAGAACGGACAGTGTAACGAGGGACTGAAGGGCGATGGGACCTGCGAATGTGACGTGGACTGGAGGGGAGTCCACTGTGACCAAAGTAAGGCTGAATGTAGAGAAAAGTGAACGCTGTGATTTAGAACAAAATCTCATTTATGAGATCATTTTTAGAAATACTGTTTTTGTCATTTGTGCTGAGCTGCATCCGTGTCGTTGCAGAGATCGAAGCCAAAGCTGACGAGCAGTGCGGCTCGGTGAGATGCCACGGCAGTGCAAAGTAAGTCTGCACAAGTTTAACCGTTACTCTGCGTGCAGGACGCTGGAGGATTTATGCTTCCTGTTAAAACTTTAATCTGGTTTTATAGCTGTGTGACCGGCTCGTCCGGCCCTCAGTGTATCTGTGCTGCCGGCTTCAAAGGAAACGGGACTTTCTGTCAAGGTAACACATGTTATGAGCTCTGCAGGTCACTTACCTGCGGCTTTGGTCTGAGCTTGTTAAAGAGGATTCCTGTGAACCGCAAAGTTTACTGAACACTTTGTGACTCATGCAGCCATAGATCCGTGCGTGGTGGATAACGGCGGCTGCAGTCTGTACGCTCTCTGTAAGAGGACTCGACCCGGCCGAAGAGACTGTGTCTGTAATGCCGGCTACGTGGGCGACGGACTTGTGTGTGTCGGTAAACTCACTTGCCACAACTGCTCACACCTGCTCACAGCTGCTCTGGCTTAGTTATAGTTGGTACAAGGAGTCAAAACGATTTTTAAAAAGGAAAATTTAATTATTCCGAGTCAACATTAACTTGTTCAGATCAGTTTATATATATATATTTTTTTTTTTAAAAAGCAAAAATTAGCTAAGAGGCAATCACACTGAGGATTACAGGGGACATGAAAGAGTGCAAAATACAATCGTGAAAGTTAAAGCAAAAGCATTGACAATAAATCCAGTAATACTAGAAGGATGTGTTATACTTCGTAGTGTAATGGTCTGACTATGGTGGACAAAGTCTGCAGTAATGCAAAACTTAAAAAGCATTTTGTGAAAGTTCTGCGAAGTTAAAGCAAAAATACCAATGCAAAATATTCCAGATGTTAGTTCTTCCAGCATCACAGCAAAAAAGGATTCCAGACAATCAGAAAAGCCTTCAGAGCCAGCAAAATGACTGAAATTAAGTAGCTCTGTTGATTTGCGTGGTTTGTGGTATTGTTGTGCTGTGAGGAATTTAAAAGCTCTGGCTCAGCATCGATCCTTGGCAGCAGCTCAAGTTATCAGACACACGATAAAAAGCTTGAGCGCATCGTGAATCCGAGATAACCAGGTGGAGTTTTGTGTTTCTCCACAGAGATAAATCCCTGCCTGAAAGGAAACGGGGGTTGCCATGCCAATGCAGACTGCATTCACATTGGACCGAACAAAGTAAAACTAGCTAACCTCTACAGTCTGACTTTAAGCACAGCTCTCTGCTGACGGTGGCGCTAAATGTGACTTTGTTTTCCTCGGCAGACTTCCTGTGTCTGCAGGGAATTTTACACCGGTGACGGGAAGAACTGCAACATCATCGACTTGTGCCAAAAGGTGAGTTTGTCTTCACTCTGGCTGGCTTCAAGCTGTGGGAAAGATGAGTGATTCAGAATCAGATGATTACATCATTCAGCTAATAATCACACATACAGCCCATAGTAGCACCAAATCACAGCAGCACTCATCTTGGTGCACTTTCCCTGTAAGAAAACACCAACTGCGAGGCAAGAGTTACACCCATAAGTCCTATTGTGAAGGAGGAAGCTTGTTAGGCTGCTCTATTCAGTGTTCCCAGGACAATAATAATGTCCTCGCCTCCTTTAGCACAGGAACTGTGGTAGTCGTGTTTTCAGTCAGTGCTCTGGCTCTGGTAAGGCTCACCTGGCTGTAGGGTTGCCAACTCCCTGAAAAATAAATAAGGGACACCTCGTGGCCAGGGCCGGGTGACCCAGTTGTCTTCACCCTTCCCAGTGTGGTGAATTTTCTAGCTCTTTTTTTGTGTGTGAAATTATTTTTTTAACCATTTGACTTGAAGTTGATTTAAGTAGATGCATATTCTATTCTTTGTGATATGAACACATGTGAAACAAATGATCATTTAGCCATTTATTTTTAGCTCAAAATGACAACATTAACACAATAAAACAGGTCTCTTTCTTAAACAGAAGCCTGTCATGCTTAACTTTTGAGAATATAAGTAAATCTTTCTTGAAAAGAACTCTGTCCTGCTTAACTTAAAATAATAGAAAACAATAGAAAGAAAAATATTCTTGTAACAGTGCACATTTAGTGCATTTAGTACAATTGGCTTCAGTTGAGGTATTATTTCAGCTTTTCTAATGCTAATCAGCTGCTCCTGTTTGTAAACCCGCTTGTTCCCATGATTACGCATCATCATCATCTATGTATTACTTTTATTTATTAGTCATCTATTTGTTGTAATCATCTATCCTTGCAGTTGTTTATTACACAAAATAAATTATATTATCACACTTCTGGCCACATAGCGCTGATATTCACTGCACATGCCCATATTAACTTTTTCCAGCCAGGTGTTTTCCTTTTCCCCATTCTTCCCTTTCTCTGAGGGGAACAAACATTGCTGCTCTAATGCTGGGCTCACACTGTGCGATTTTTGGCGCATTTTTAGCCGATTTTTGAGTGATCGGACCGATTTTGGCCTTCGTCGTGTAGTATATGTGGGGTAACGAGAAGCGATTAACACCTCACGACCAGCTCCCGATCATCAATCGCTCGTGAAGGTGTCACCACAGGCGCTCACACTGCTCACGCGCAAACACGTAAACGTCGGTGAAAAAGACGGAGCAGCACAGCAGCTGGACACAAGCGATGGAGGCACAACTTGTAGAACTTCGAAAAGGCTCGGATGAGCTTTCCAATGTGGCCTCACAAAATGATCACGACCACAACAACCGTGAAAATAGTTGGATCTACATTGCTGCTCAATCACAGCTGCCTGATCATGTTTTTCATTAGCAATTTAGCAAAGTTGATGGTGGCGGTGTGTCTGTGTGAGTGAAAGACAGAGAGGAACAGCGAGCGACAGATTTTCTGTTATAACCTTCATTTTAGTGTGAGCGCTCAGGTCGCATCAGAGCATCGGGCGGTATAGTGTGAGACCTGCATCGTGACCTACCAACTTCTAACCCCTGCGAGTCAATCGTGCAGTTTGAGCAGGAGCTGAATAACGTGACTGAAAAAATCGCAGTGTCTACCCAGCTTTGGGTGTACTGTCGTCCGAGACTTGCACCGCAGTGTCGGCGTTTGTTTCCCTGTTGGCCATGCTTCTTGTTGTGGTCATCTGTTGTCTTCCGGTATTTTCTCC